TAAAACCGTTATATTATAAGGTGAGGGGCTAAAACCGTCCAACTTATCAAGGTAAGGGGCTATTTTTAGGCTTTTGCCCAGAGCGCTATTCCGGCTTTGGGACAAGTTCCATCTATAGGCTAGGCTACTTGTCCACCGATTACCATTACTATAGCTACAAAACCAATTAAAAAGCAACAAAAAAGCTAGGACATTGAAAGAAAAACCAACAAACCTAACTAAGAGAATTATTCATCAAAGCCTAAGCTCACGGGGTCCCTCTCCCAGGCTGATGGCTACCAAAATCCAAGGCCTAAAGTGACTAAAAATTAAAGTAACCTAGGACTAACTAGACCAATAGTGTTGGTGTAACTGCACCAAACCAGAAGCCCTTCTTCAATCCGCGTCTGCACTCCGGATTAACCTGCAAAGCCCCGAGGTGGAACTCGGGGTAGACACTCCGATGCTTAAGTCAGCAATAATCGGGGTTACCTTTAGAGCGGAGATAATAGGAGCTTAGGGTTGGTTTCAATTACCTTTTTGACGTGGCCCTTGAGGGGTACTTATAGGTTATAATGAGGAAACCACGTGGCATGCCAAGCAAGATACTCGGGATCTGATGTGTATCTCCAGACAGTTATTTCGGGACCGGGAAATTAAGCCAAGCAAGATATTCAGGATCTGATGTGTATCTCCTTACGGTTATTTCAGGACCGGGAAATTGAGAGATATTTAGATGCGAGGATGTCCATCATAACTGCTATGTAGCTGTTCGAGCGGGAAGCTCTGGATTTACTCTTCATTCCGGTTGTAAAGGAATTACTGTCGTACGGCCAAGGTTAGGCACCTCGGACCTGCCTTTACACTATTCCCCCCCCAAAGTCATTCACTTGTGAATGATGTGGTTGGAGATGATAGGGGTAGTGCATAAGTAGAAAGGAAAGGAGATGAGAATATTAAAACCGAGTTACATAAGTAAAAATAAAGATAAAAATCTGTAACTTTACATGTATGGATGACCATAGGCAATATTTAGTTATGAGTCATAATAATAAAAAGTAATGACCGGAGTGATGGTGGCTATAGCCAAAGCAAAGCATGTGACACTAGGTCACTGTGGCCGGGGCCGATGTAAAACATGTGACACTGAGTCACTACGGTCAGAGCTGAAGTAAAACATGTGACATTGAGTCACTGTGGCCGGAGCCGAAGTAAAAAAGAGTCACTGTGGCCGGAGCCGAAGTAAAAAAGAGTCACTGTGGCCGGAGCCGAAGTAAAAAAGAGTCACTGTGGCCGGAGCCGAAGTAAAACATGTGACACGGGGTCACTGTGGCCGGAGCCGAAGTGAAACACTTGAGCAAAATTTAAAATGGATAAAAGTGAGCAAGAGTGTTGAAATGGGCGTAAGTGGGCCCGTCTGACAAAAAGGCAGTTCGTGACACGACAGCTGTACTCTGAATGACGTGTGTAATAAATGCCGTTGTAAAAAGATAACCGTAACAGTCCAACGGGAAGATGTGAAAAACGAATCGTCGAGTTCGAAACGGTGCCGTTTGGGGTTAACCGTTGAATTCGAAACGGTGTCTTTGCAACCGTTAGATAAAGTAAATCACAGCCGTTGAGGCGTATTTTGCCTTTGGTATAAAAGGCTAGACTTCTGTAAAAGGAGGTTTTTACTTTCGCGATTTTACTTCCAAATTCCTACTAAATCTTTGCGGTTTCGTGCGGTTTGCGCTTTGTTTAGGACTTCAACAACAGTTTCCACAGACCAAAATCAGGTAACGTTTATGAATTTTTGGTTTCGAGTTTATCAAAGTGCTGGTTTCCTTTCTCTCTTTCTGTGTTTGATTTTGGGTTTTTTGAAGGAAATTAGGGTGTGGGAGTGAGAATGTATTGAGTGTGTGAGAATTTTTAAGGGCCCTAACTCTGTTCCTCCTTCTACTTTATGCAGAAATTGAGGAGATGTCTTCAGAAGGGACCATGAGTGTAGTGGGGAGTGAGGTTATGCCCCTGGATTACGGGAGCATGGATTCGGAGAGCAGTCCGTCTCCCACCAGTTTGGAGAGGACGGTGGAGGAAAGGAGGGATGAAAGAGTAGTAGAGGAGGAGGAAGAGGAGATCCCCTCGAATATTTTGGAGGCTGGGAGTAGGGTAGATGGGTGCTATGACCCGGACTTAGAGGTAGTTTCTGAGGTGAGGGGGTATGTGAGCGAACTAGGTAGTAGGAGTAGCCTTAGGGGGCTGGTAGGGAACTGTAAACTTCCTCACCATGTCCTAATTAGGCCTGCCGGGGTGAATGAGAGGGCATGCTTAGCACCCCGAGACCATTGGATGCCCCTAAACATCCATTATTTGATTGCAGGGCTTAGGTTTCCCATTCCAGAATTACTGGTTGGGCTATTATTAGATTACAGTATAGGAATAACCCAATCGACCCCAAATGCCATAAGGGTAATAATATGCTTTCTTGTATACTGCCGAGCTCGGGGGGTTGGGGTTCTTACAGTAAATATGTTTAAACATTTTTTTTATAATAAAGGCTGGGGGTAGGGGGGAGAAGGGGTGGTACTACTTCGGCCCTCGATCGTCCAGTAAAGGGAATAAGAGTTTATTCTCTGCTGGACCGTCATCCATCAAAGGATGGAAAGAAAAATTCTTCTTTGTGGATGACACTGAGTGGAGTAAGGGGGATGCCGAAGTAGAGCAATTGTCTGTTTGGAAAGCTAAGAAGACCAAGTAGAACAATTATAAGCTGATAAGGATGAGGTGGAAGAGGTTGAGAAGCTGGTGAGGGAGGAGGGAGACGTGGTAGATATCATGTACCTCACCAGTCCAGGGGCAATAAAGGTTGTAGAGCTCTATGGGCCAAGCTCATTGAGCGAAGGTTTGTTTGTTTGTGCTCTGTATAGCTTACTTGAAACTGCAGTTAGTGTGTTTTAACACTTATTTTTATTTTGTAGCTGAAATGGATAGTTTTATAAATGCGGCTGGAGGATTGGCTATCCCAAAGAAGCTAAGGAAAAAGTCAAAGACTTCAACTGCGGTAGAAAAGGGGGTGTCAGATAGGGAGCGACTGTCCAGCACCTCTGCCCGAACTTTGGAGGTGTAGCCAAGGCCGAAGTCGGTGATGGGGGGCAGTGAGGAGGCGAGCAAGGAGGTGGCACCGCTCCAGCGGAAGAAAAGGAACGTGGCAGAAACAGAGGTTAGGAGGGATGAGGTGGTTGAATTCGTCCCTCGGCCTTCACCACCTGAGATTGATCCGAAGCTCAGGGAGAGAGAAGAGGCTGTGGTTCGAGGTCCTGGCAAGGGCAAGGAGCTCCCTCCACCTTCATACCAGAAAAGTTTGTTCGAGGCAACGAACACGACTGGAGCTAAACAATTCCTCAACGCCACGCTTCCTGAGGTGGATAGAAGGCAAGCTAGGCAAGAGGCGGTGAGCCATTTGGGTGCCCACATTGTAAGGCACGCCTTGGAGGTATGTAGAAAAGTTATGGTTTATTCAGGTTTTACCTTGAACTTTATGACCTTTGCCTTTGAGTTCTGACCTCTGTCTACATTGCAGAGTGCGAGCTGGGTCAATGCTCTTGCGCAGGAGTATGCGGAGAGCGTAAGAGATTGTGCCAACTGGCAGAGGCAATGTGAGGCCCTACTGAAAGAAAAGGAGGAGCTGCGGAAGGAAAAGGAGGAGCTGTAGAAGAGGAACAATGATATGCAAAGGAGACTGGACGAAGTGCTGCCATCAGTAACCGAGCTCCAGAGCGATAATGATGTCTTGAGCACGAAGCTCGTTCTCGAAGAACGTAAAAGGAAGATTTGTGAAGAGAAACTTGAAGCTCAAGACAAGTATATAGAGAACATGAAGAAAGGAGCAGCGAAGCTGAAGAAGAACGTGAATCTGTTGGTTCACAATGGGATGGAGGAGCACATTGGCTGCTTCCTCAACTCCAGTGTCTTCGAGAACATCATCAACCTCTATTGGCTGCCGATCGCGATCGTGGCCTTCACCGACTGTAGAAAAAAGGTGAAAGCCCAGTACCCAGCGGTGGACGTGACGATGGTCACTTTTGGGGAACAAGAAGAAGGGGTGGATGAGGATGGTGAGAGCCTTTCTGCTGACTTTCGGCCTCTAATCTAGCTGAGGTGGGAACGTGACGCAGAGGGGCGTACTATCTTCCCTCCAACCTTGATGTGGAGCTGGTGGCAGTGGAGGAAGAAGAAGAAGAAGAAGCGAAAGGTGCTGGAGTGGAGAATGAGGTAGATCTAGTCGAAGCTCAGCCTCCCGTAGTTCATCCAGTCTCCTCTGATGAAGTGCTGCAGCTAGCTCCTCCTGAAGCGGAAGTGCCGCTTCTGCCGGCTGAAGATAAGCCACTTCCACCACCTCTTCCTGTTGAGGAGCAGCCTCCTCCGTCAGCAGATTAGATTAGGATTTTATTTTTGTGTGACAGTTGTAATGAACACTTTTGTACTTGAGAGCTTTATTATTTTATAAAATGTTTCAAATCATCATTAGTGTTCAATGTTGGTTTCGAATTGTTGTGTTATTTGAAGTGAATTACCTTGGCCAAAATAAAATGACTTTAGTTGGCGTCAAGGGTCTGACCTTGGACACAGTAAAATGAACAGCAAGGAAATTGACCTCGGGTGTACATGAGGCGGACCTCAAATGTATAGATGAGAAAAGATTAAGTAAATCATTTCGAAAGTAAAGTGTAACCGATTAATAAAATCGTGACCCAAAAAATCAGTGCCTGAAGGAGTTACAATGAACTAACTTCAGAAATAAGTGAACTCCACCTTCCAACATATAAAATGGTAAAACTGAATTACTTCAAATGTGAAGTGAAATTCATGAAGGAGATAACTGAATTGAGTTCGGATGTTCATTGAGCAGAAAAATAGAATAATGACGATTATAAAAATAAAACAAAGTTTACTGGAAAGAGGTGTATTAAGGGTAAAATTTCTTCAAGTTATTGACATTCCAGACTCTAGGAACTCTTTTGCCTTCAACGTCTCATAGGATATAAGCACTGGGGTGCGGCACTTCGGCTATAGTGTAGGGGCCCTCCCAGTTTGGTGCTAATTTTCCGAATCGAGTTTGGAACCCCGTTAGACTAGCTTTCCTGAGAACGAGGTCTCCTACTTTGACTGCTCAGGGTCTTGTAGAAGTTGGTTATTTTCTGCTTGTAAACTAGAGTTCAAAGTCGGGCTTCTTCTCTGGCTTCATCAAGCAGGTCAAGGTGCTCCCGAAGCAGTTGTCCATTTCGTCCTTCATCAAAATGGGTGACCCTGAAGCTTGGGACTGCTATCTCGATAGGAATGACTGCTTCGGTACCAAAGGCCAGATGATAAGGTGTTTCACCTATTTCAGTTAATTAGAACTTTAGAATGCGCTTTACGCGTTATGCATATTTGTTCTAAGGTAAAGCCATAGCAGAAGAAGTAAAATGATATAAAATTAATCAAGTAGACCAGGTGTAAAGTAATATATGTGGCAGTTCGGCTCGTAGTTCTGTATGCCCAAAGGATGTTGTTGAGCTCGTCAGCCCACTTGGCCTTGTGTTGTTCCAATCTCGACTTTATACCTTCTAAAATGCTTTTGTTAACAGATTCGACCATGCCATTGGACTCTGGATGGTAAACCGAGGTGAACTGCAGTTTGATCCCGTAGTTGGAACAAAAATCTCGGAATGAGGAGCAATTGAATTGAGTTCCATTATCAGCAACAATCTGATTCGGGATTCCATATCTGCAAATAATCGAGCTGAAAAAAAAGTCTTCGACCTTCTTGGAGGTATGACTGGATATTGCGTAAGCTTCAACCCATTTTGTAAAATAATCCACATCGACGATGAGATGGGTTACACCACCGACCCCTTTCAAGAAAGGACCCAAGAGATCCAGCCCTCATTGGGCAAATGGCCATGGTGCTACCAAGTTTGTGAGCTCTTCTGTTGGTTGGTGAGTCAGATGTGCGAAGAATTGACACTTCGGGCATCTTTGAACAAAGTGGGTAGCGTCCTTGTACATGTTTGGCCAGTAATATCCCTGTCTCAAAACTTTGTGGGCCAGAGTTCTAGCACCAATGTGACTCCCGCAGACGCCTTCATGCACCTCCCTGAGTGCGTATTCCGCTTCGTAGGGGTTTAAGCACCGTAGAAGAGGGAGTGAGAAAGATCTCTTATAAAGGACCCCATCAACAAGTGTATACCGAGATGCTTTCTTCCTCAACTTCATTGCCTCCTGCTTATCTTCAGGTATCACCCCGTCCTGTAAGAAGGAGACAATTGAGTCAGTCTAGCTTGGAGTGTCTGGTTCTGTGCTGATCTCCATCACCCGTAGCTTCGTGAAGCTTGGTGCATCTAAGACCTCCACAAAAATTGATCTAGAACTTAAAGAGCTATCTGAGGCAAATTTGGAAAGTGAATCTGCCTGTTCATTCTCAGTTCGGGGAATTTTGCTCAGATAGAACCTCTGAAATCTGCACTTCAGCTCGGCCACGAGGGTTACATACTTCATCATCACTGTATCGACAACTTCGCAGATTGAGTTGATTTGATTCACCACCAGCTGGGAGTCACTGTACACCTGGATTGCGCTGATTTTTAACTCGAATGCTAGTTGTAAACCAAGTAGCAGAGCTTCATATTCAACCATGTTATTTGTTGCATCGAAGTTGAACTTCATGGCATGTTCACTTTGGTACCCATTTGGGCCAATCAAGAGAGCACCAGCTCTTAAACCTTTGCTACTAGATGCCCCATCAACATATAAGGTCCACTCGTTGGGCTCTGGATTGGGGGTTGAATGATGTGGAGTGCATTCTACAATAAAATCTGCCAGTGCTTGAGCTCGGATCGCAGATTTCTGCTGAAATGTTATCTCAAATTCCCCCAGTTCCACTGCCCATTAATCGTCCCGAGCACTCTAGCTTTTGTAGAATCTGTCGAATAGGTTGGTCTGTAAAGACAACGATCAGGTGTGACTGGAAATATGGCCTCAACTTCTTGGCCGAAGTGACAACTACTAAAGCTGCTTTCTCAGAAATTGGATATCTCAGCTCTGCTCCATGCAGCACATTGCTGATGTAATAGATCAGCTTCTGCTGTTTGGCTTCCTCTCGCACCAGGAATGAGCTAATGGCTTCATCTGAAATTCCCAGATACAAATAGAGAATATCTCCCTCTATGGCCTTAGTTAGTAGAGGTGGTGAGCTAAGATAAGACATCAACTCGTCAAATGCGGCTTGTCATTCCTGATTCCATTCAAACTTCTTCTGTTTACCCGATTCATCCTTCTGGGCGGTTGACCTCATAATCTTGAAAAATGGTAGGCATTTATCTGCTGACTTTGATATGAACCGATGAAGAGCTGCCACTCTTCTAGTCAACCTTTGTATATCTTTCATTGACTTCGGTGGTTCCATCTCGGCTACTGCTTTGATCTTCTCAGGGTTAACCTCGATCCCCCTCTTGGACACCATGAAGCTGAGAAACTTTCCAGACTCTACGCCGAAGATGCACTTTGCTGGATTCAGCCTCATTTTGTTTTTTCGGAGGTTGTTAAATGTCTCCTCGAGGTCGGTTAAGTGATCTCCCGCTTTCAAACTTTTCACCACGATATCATCAACATATACTTCCAGATTTCGGCCTATTTGAGCTCGGAATACGATGGTAACCATCTTTTGGTAAATGGCACCTGCGTTCTTCAGGCCGAAGGGCATCATCACATAGCAATAGATTTCATCGCCGGCATAGAACGAGGTTTTTTCTTCATCTTCAGGAGCCATTGGAACCTGGTGGTAGCTAGAGTATGCGTCCAAGAGACTTAATCTCTCGTTTCCAGAAGCTGCCTCAACCAGTTCGTCAATGTTTGGCATTGGGTAATAGTCTTTTGGGCATGCCTGGTTGAGGTTAGTGTAATCGATGCACATCCGCCATTTGCCATTTGCTTTCTTCACCAAAACAGGATTGGCGACCCACTCACAGTAATCGACCTGTCTAATAAAGCCAGCTTGCAAGAATTTTTCAACTTCTTCTTTGATGATCGTTAACCTCTCCCCCCTAAAGAGGCGCCGCTTCTGGGCTACTGGTTTCTTGAGTGGATTGGTGCTGAGTTTATGTTGAGAAACCGAAGTGGGAATTCCCATCATATCTGTTGAGGTCCATGCAAAAACATCTTTGTTAGCTCGAAGAAAGGCAATTAGATCTGTTCTCTCATCGGGGCTCAGCCAAGTTCCTATCTGTGTTTTCCTGGTCGGATCCATGTCATCAATCTGTACCTCTTCCACATCTTCGACTAGAGCAGCTCTGGTGTCATCTTCTGGTCGATTATCTACTATTTCAACACCCATAACTTGTCGATCATCAGGAATCCGTTTGGGATTAGTCTTGGGCGTCTGAGCTTTGCCCTTCTGAGGTTTTGTTACCGAGGTGATATAGCAATGTCGGGCCACCTCCTAGTTG